GTTTGGACAACGGATTGATATTTAATCCGTAAATAATCTACTAATAATCATTAAATATGTAAAAATTAATCTTCTTATGAAAAAAAAGAAGAAAAACAATACATTTTGGATTGTAGCCGTCGTTAGGTCGTTTTTGGGCTGCTTATCCTCGCTGTTTTGTTAATTGTTTAAGGTTTAATTATTTTGAATACTTTCTCCAGTTATTATTGCCAATATTCTCTATCGAATAGTACACCATATCATCAATATAAAAACGATTTCACAATCTCTCCTTCTATTTCAATAAATTCCCTTATATTTCTTTCATTGTTCACTCTTCCATTTTTTACTCTTATTCTTCCACTTGTTCTATGTATTTTATACACTCTCTCTCTCTCTCTCTCTCTCTCTCTCTCTCTCTCTCTCTCTGCCTTTTGTCTCACTCTATCTCATCTTTTTCTATCTTAATATGTTTTTTGTGACTTTCTTTCAATTCTCTCTCCACTCTAGAATGTCCAGGTTAAGTGGTAGTAATGTCCATGAGAATTAACTTGTCGTGGTAAAATAAAACATCATTCTTCCATTAAGTATCATTCTCTCCCTTTCCTATCTCTCTCTCTCTCTCTCTTTCTCTCTCTCTCTTTCTCTTTCTCTCTCTCTCTCTCTCTCTCTCTCTCACTCTCACTCTCACTCTCCCTCATTCCCTCTTTTTCTCTCACCCTTTCTGTCTTATTCAGAGGTCGTTGGCTATCTAAATTTGCGAGATTTTTAAATAAAACGATATTCGCGCACTTTCAAACGTACCATTTGCTTAAAAATTATATTGTCAAATCGTTAGTAAAAAGCAAAACAATTTTTTTTCTCTTCATTATACATTTAAATTGTACAGGAGTCAAAATCATAATAAATGTATAATGTAAACTCACGTTAAGTGCAAGAAAGGTCCAAGAGGTACCTAAATGCGCGAGTATTTTAAATAAAACGATATTCACTTTCTCTCTCTCCCTCTCTCTCTGTATGTCTGTCTGTCTGTCTGTCTGTCTCTCTCTCTCTCTCTCTCTCTCTCTCTCTCTCTCTCTCTCTCTCTCTTTTCTGTACTATCTTTAGTTCAATAAATACCTTTAAAAGCCTCTTTCTTAATTATTCCAAATGATTTAGGTCGGGGAACTTGGGGCTAAGGAACCTCTTCTACAGATCGAGGGGACGAATGTTTCGTTCCGTTCAAGAATTCCCTCACAGACCCAATATGATTTCAAATAATCTTGTGAAGGCATGTTCTCTATCAGTGCACGTAGTTTATTCTGTAGAAAGTTCTTTTTATTCTGTAGACATTTTCCCTCCGAAAAGTCGCCCGAGTCCTAAAATCAATCTCTGACCCTCACACGGTGATAGAAAATATACGCTGAAAACGGTGCCGAAATAGCAAGGCTGTTATGGATATAAGATCGATTTTGTTATTACTATTGAGATTACATTAATTTATTATTATTGATGCTTTTATGTTAGGCGCCACGTTGGAAAAAGATCAACACTAAAACTCTAAAATAAAGAGCAAAAAGAAGGGACAAAGCACAGATACGGATTCTGGATCCGAACCACATCTGATCGACGTAGCGCTTCCAGCCACACTACTCAAATTAACCTACAAACAAGGTGCTTCCTGCTTCTAAGGAAGCTAATTCTGTAACACAAAGAATGTAGGATAATAAGGGTTTAATCTAAAGAAAAAAAATGACATTACATCATATTTATGAACTAAATTGACTATTAAAGAAAGAAATTAAACTTATAAAATCGTACACAAACGACTTAACAACTAAGTCCCAACTTATCACGCTTGATAAAGAAAAAGGCGAACCAATAAGACGTCCACGCATATCTTCTTCCAGCTGCACCGTCCACTCACTCTGAACAACGATACACTTTTAATTTTTTCCTTGTTGAACGATCTCGCGAACTGATCCGCCTTCTTCCTAATGTCTTAATTTAAAAAAATTAAATATCAAATTAACCTTCGGTTGAACAAACTCTATATCATTGCCGATGGAATGATTTAACAACTAATACAGGCTCCCAAATAATTATTGAAAAGCGAAATGCACAATTTGAACAGAATAACGTATCGTTGTCTCTTACTGTTTGTGTTTTACATTGTTTTAATTTTTTTATTAATTATATTGTATATATATTAAATATATGTATTGTAAGCTGCGATCCGTTCGCCAAGGATTTTCATAATAAAAAGCCATTTAACGCGTCCTTTTGTTTAAAAAAAATTACTTCCATCTTCGTTTCACGGCTGACTTTTTCAGTACTGACAGCCTTCAAGTTCATTCTTGTTCCACGAAGCGAGATCATTCATTCTTCCACTTGCTAGCAGAGGGTTGATTTCTAATTCAAAGCAAATTGTTTAAATTCACAACTAAACATGAAATCCTACGTTTTTATGCTTTATAGTATTTTTCCTTTAAAAATCTCCGTGCTTGATAGGATGGAAGATTATAGATTACCTATTATCTATATATCATTCATTTATTACATATCATTCTCTGGTTCTTTCTTTCTCTCTCTCTGCCTTTTCTTTCACTCTGTCTCCATCTTTTTCTATCTAGTATGGCTTTCTTTTTCCATTCTCTCATTTCTTTCTGCTCTCTACAATGTCCAGGTTAAATGGTAGAAATTGTCCATGAGAAGTAACTTCTCGTGGTAAAATAAAACATCATTCTTCCATTACGTCTCATTCTCTCTCTTTCTTCTGACTTTCTGTCATCTCTCTCTCTGTTTACCACTCTAAGTCTTGCTACCTATCTCTGTCTTTTTCTCATTTCTCACTCTATTCGTAATTATATGACTCTTCTACTACCTGTCTTCACATCGCTCTCTTACTGGATGGATGATTTCTCTCTCTCTCTCTCTCTCTCTCTCTCTCTCTCTCTCTCTCTCTCTCTCTCTCTCTCTCTGCCTTTTGTCTCACTCTATCTCATCTTTTTCTATCTTAATATGTTTTTTGTGACTTTCTTTCAATTCTCTCTCCACTCTAGAATGTCCAGGTTAAGTGGTAGTAATGTCCATGAGAATTAACTTGTCGTGGTAAAATAAAACATCATTCTTCCATTAAGTATCATTCTCTCCCTTTCCTATGACTTTCTTTCATCTCTTCCTCCCCCCTCTCACTCTTTCTCTCTACGATTTTTTGCCTTTTCACTGGCCCTTTCACAAGTCTTTCTACGTATCTCTATCTTTCTCTCCTTTTCTCACTCTTTTCCTATTTATATTACTCTTCTACTCCCTGTCTTCACGTCACTGTTCTACTGTCCTCTCTCAATCTCTCTCTCTCTCTCTCTCTCTCTGTCTCTCTCTCTCTCTCTGTCTCTGTCTCTCTCTCTGTCTCTCTCTCTCTCTCTCTCTCTCTCTCTCTCTCTCTCTCTCTCCCACTTTGGCCGCTTGTTTACGTTCTTCTTTTCCTCCTCTATTTTATCTCCGATTCTCCCATTTGTAACTACATCTCTATGCTTTTTGTGACTCTCTTTCTAACTCTCTCCCTACCTATTTCTTATCTCTCTTTTCCTCTCATTGTCTTTTATCTCATTCTTTGTAAAGTCTTTCTTCCTATCTCATTCTTTTTCTAATTTTTCTCATTCCATTCCTGTTTATTAATCTTTTACTCACTCTGTCATCTTACCCCACTCCCTTACTTTCTGCGCTCTCTCTCCCTTTCCGCTCTGTTGCTTTCTTCTCTCTCTTTTTCTGGTTTCTTTGACTCTCTCAGCTCTTACAAATCTCTCTGTCTTTTTTCAATATTCTCTCGTCTCTCGTTACCTTTCTGCCTTTCTTTCTACGTCTCTTATCTTTTACTATCTTTCTCTGCCATTTTTGTGACCCTCCTTCTACATGTCCCTTTTCCTTTTTGTCATCTCTCTCGGCCAATCTGTACTTACCTGATCTACCTTTCTCATCTCTTTCTACCCCTCTCTGGACATTCCAGTTTAAGTGGTAGAAAGGTCAACGAGATTTAACTTTGCCTTTTACCCGTCTTTGTCTTTTCTCCGACTTCTTTCAATTTTATCTCACTCAATCTATCTTCTCTCTAGCTGACTCTATAAGAGAGAAGATTATACATAATATAGGATTAATATACTTATTGTATGCAATAAATATTTTCTTCTTTATTGAAACAGCGGCACCTTCTACTTAATTCCATTTATATATTGATATAGAAAAAATTTAAATTATACCATTCATGTTCTGACAACTAGAAGAGCCGCCTCTGAAAAAAATGATACAAAAATTAAATATAGTGTTCAGCCAATTTATTATTATTATAGTAAAGCGTGCCTCAAATTTATTGGCCTTTCCTGCAAAACAAATGAATTAGTCAACCAGATTAACCGATTAGCATATAAAGTGTTGTTCAAATTTATTGCCAGAAGTAGTTTAAAAGCTTCCTTAAGGTGCCCCGTTATGCTAATTGGAGACCAAAGATCTTGTACGGCAATTTGCTCGCCCTCCTCCTGCTGATACCAAAGGGTACAACTAAACGGCCAAGATATTTTATCAAACTGGGCATACTTGATATTACCTTTGAATTAGGCTTAAAAACAAAATTTACTGTAGGTCAAAATAGGTACGACAAAATCAAATCGAACTAAAGTTTGTAAAGATATTTGCAAAATTCTCAACTAAGCATGTATCAATTTCAATAAGGTTTAGTTCGTTGGGGAGTCACAACACAGAAAAATACATACTACACAATATTTTTAAATATAACCTTTATTTCTTTGGAACGAAAAAGGTCAAATCTAATAGCTTTTGTTTAAAGCCGCTACTAATAGCCCTCCAAGCCTGTGATGATTTTCTGTCGATTATAACTGGCCTTGATAGTGAACGCTCTTTTTATTTTTCCTTAATGGTTGGCCGAGTTTTGTTGTCAATATGTATTTGCTTAGCTATCCATGTAACAACTTGATTCATGTATATTTATGGGAGACAGAGTTGATTGACACAATTTACCATTGTTACAGGTGAGTCGAATGACACATGATGCTGTGCACTAGGAACGTGAGTATAATCATAATTATTCCTATTTAATGACATACCTCTCTAACGAGGTATAATCGCTATTTGGAATCGCTTATGCAACAATTATTGGCCGTTTTAGACTCATTTAGAAAATAGGGTCGGACAATTTTACTGCTTTGTTTCAGTTTACAATGCATTGTTGCAGTTATTATTAATTTGTTTTGAAATTTTTATATTTTTCCGCGCCAATAACACAAATATATCACATTCTCTGATAGACACATTATGAAAAGGCATTTATTTGTACTACATTTAATTCAATTTATATATGGTTACAAATATGTATAACCACTCAAACCCCTGAAAGATTCATATAAAAAAGGTACAGAGCTGTTATTGTTCTTTTTAGTGCTGATTTGATTTAATCTTTCATACGACAATTCTCTCTATCTCTTTCTTTCTCACTCTCTCCCTCTCTCTCTCTTCTTCTTCTCCTCTCATTTTCTCTTTTTTTTTTGTCAAATAATCGTACAACAACAGTTCAAAGCACCCTTTACATAACAAACAATTTACTAAGCATAGATTAGGTATACAATAATATAACTGAATCTCTTTCCCTCTCTCAACACACACACACACACATGCGCGCACACACACACACACACACACACACACACACACACACACACACACACACACGCGCGCGCGCGCGCGCGCACACGCACACACACACACACACACAAAATCTCTCTCTAGGTATCTATTTATATATCTAGGCCAGGTATAATAGCTCTTAATCTCGCTTTCTCTCTGCCTCACTCTCGATTCATATACACAACACGATTTATGTTCCGAAAAAAAGGACAAAAAAATCGTATATTCGCAAACAAAGATCACCCAGTCAAACTGCAGGTTATAAAGCACAGTCATATCAACCGACGTTAACATTGTTGATTAATATTTATTTAGAAATCGATTGACGGTCACTAATCACCACACATTGTTGATTAAATAACAAAAATTTTTGATTAGTTACATTGCCAATTGTTCAACTTTTGAGAAAAACAGTTTAAGTAGTTGAATTGATTTGGCATCCATGGTTTTCGTTTAGTATCATGCAAGATTAATCCAACTATCTCACCCCCGCCGTTAAACCGCAACCGGATTAAAAAAAATCGCACCTGTAACCAAAAAACCATACACGCCAACTGTCTTAAAAATGAATAACATTGTCTAGGAAAATGGAAGAGGGCATGTAATTTATAGCCAATGTTGTGTTATTATTATCCCTGTGGTGTTATGGTGTGCATAAATTAAACTGGATTTTTTGTTACTGACAATGATCTGAAACGTGTTATTTCCAAAAGGTATATTTTCCAATTTGAATGATTGAAAAGCGTGAAATATAATGACAGAGGATGTATGTATAAATAATGTTTGTCACGATGATGCGATACAAATCGTAGTACTATGTGGGCTCTTCGTACCTTCCGAACTTCGAAGGGAAGCGCTTTTTCCGCATAAATTTTTACACAATATTATGGTGAGTGGTTTAAACTTTTTTTATAAGATCGCATATAATTTTTGATTTATATTTTGGTAAATGTTTTATTACGGTATATGTAGATTCCCCCGATGCTGGCCGTATAGGAAAAGGGAGATGGAAGTTGATAGGAACGAGGGGGTGCGGTAAAGGACGGGGCGCTTTACCATTCTGTTTTTCTTTCATTTTCCCGTTGGCAGAATAAGAAAAACAAAGACGAGGATGACGGCAACTGTTTAGATTGGGAAATGTATTTTTTTTCTGGTCTTTTCTCTCTCACTCGCTCTCGCCTTCTCACCCGTCCGCGCTTTCCCTCTCACGAGGACGATTCCATAGAGACGGCGCCCCGTGCCTTCCAACTGCCTCTCGAATTATCAGGACAACACAATTCTTGTACTTGTTCATTCTGACCACTTGTTCTACTCTGCCCTTAAATATAAAGTGCGCTTTCTTTAATTTTTTTAATCCCTTACAACACCGATATTGTTAATTATGGCGGAGGGTAGTCGAGAGAACTGATCTATAAGCCCCTGCTAAGTATTAAAAAAAATTGCAAAAATTTAACAACATATAATTAATAAGAAAACTGTTTCTTACTAAGTTATTATGAACAGACCAAAAACCATGAAAATCAATTCATAATACGATATAGAAGTATATGGGAACTTAATCGCACAGAAGGGTACATAAAAACACATACAGATGGATGTAACCTATAAGTCTGTTAAATAGGAACACAGGCATAGATACAACCACGCACGTACACATATGTATATAAAATCAAAAGGCGCCTAAGCTGACATATAGGCTTAACAAACTACTCACTCAATTTCTACCTGTTCTTTTTTCTCACTCTCTCTTTCTCCTTTTTTTCCTTTCTCGCAATTACGTCGGTGAGTAAACATAACCATTCAAACAATTTAAGCATTGACACAGGGAGAAATGCTCTATGTGAACTTTTCTCTGAAACACTCTTAATTCTTTCTAGATTTCTTTCTAATTTTTCTCTTGTCTCTGTTTGTTCTCTGAGACTCTTAATTCTCTCTACCTCTCTCTAGTTTTTCTCTGGCTCTCTTTCTCCTCTTTCAACCCCTCTGTGTCTCTGCGTTGTTTTTATAACTCTCTTTTAACTTTTTGTTTTCTCTTCCATTCTTTCAATTTTTTCTCTCGGTTTTTCTCTATCAATCTTTTTACTGTCTATGTTTGATTGATTTTTTCACACTCTCTCATTCTCCTCCCGCTACCACTATCTGTTTTTTCTGTGACTATTTCTCTCTCTCTCACTCCACTCCCTTTTTAACTGTTTCTCACTCAGGCACACGTACACATACGCACTCAATCACTATCACAGCACAATGATGAAAAACTAGAAATAGATTAAGGGTCAACTACAATAGGACCTTTCTCAATCAATCAGGCACGCACAGACTCACACAATCATTCGCGCAACCGGACAATGTTCACACTTCGTATATAAACACACGACAATTATTTTCATCGTAAGCGCGCAATAAAACAAATACATTATTTATTTCATACAAAATTTACTATATTTTTGACCGCTATTTCCACATACTAAGTTTTTTTGCGTCTGTTAACAAGAATAAGATTCGTAAGAAACAAGATATAAAATTTATTTAATATAAAATAATAATACGAAATTCGAAAGAATAAGAAAATAATTTACTGCTATATTTGTTGAACGTTTTACAGGCAAAATGAATAATTATCCGACGGATTTCAACTTTTGTTGGTTTAAAGTGGATTAGAGCTTAACTATTTGGCTCCCAAACAGTTTATATGTCTGAAAAGGTTTTTATTTGAATTTTCTATCTCTTACCGTGTTTCATTTATAAACCGGAGACAATTAGAAACAATAAAGCATGTTAAAAGAATTGTTTGTTGTAATTCTTGGATCAATGCTTTTGGAATATACGTCAATTATGACAAAACCTCCATTAAACTGAACGGTTGTGACGGCCGTGCTTTAAGGGGGGAAGGGGTTTGGAGTAGAAGAAAGAACTGCTGAGGAAGAAAAGAAGAATAGAAGGAGGTTGAATGAGTCTAAACTTGACGGCCAGACGCATATATCCAGTGAGAAAAAAACTGAATGTCCTTTCATTCAATACGATATGGAAAAAACCAAACAGGCCTACGTTTGTTAAGTGAAACTTTTGTAAATGTTGTGGGCAATGTGCATATACGATAAATGTCGGTACGTGCATTTTTGTTGGGTCTTATAAGGAAAAATTGATTTTTTTTGTGAAGGCTAGCTTGGACTACTAGTATTTTCAGACGTTGACCTACTTGAAGGGCAAAGAAAAGGAGAAAGAGAAAAGAAAAACTTGGTTTTTATGAGTTTTAGACACAACGAGCTTCTGCGACGTTGTATGCATTACTTTCTACAACTGCTTATAGCTGGGGGGAAGGGAATTTTTTCTGTTCGTTATCTTTAAAACTTAATCAACCTTTTTGCGGTTTGCATTAAATGGAGGGGCTTATTTAAAAAGTCGATTGTTATCCTCGGCTTACCCTCCTCCCTTACTTTCTTATTAATAATAAAATGAGTCACACTACCGCGGAACTGTCATCAGGAAATTTAATTATTCAACCCTGGCACGTTATTAAATTAGCGGAGCCAACATGTCAGAAAGGAGCTGTCCGTATTATTTCACGAAATATTTTGCATTTTTAATTATTTTGACATCCCTTTTTTGAAAATGCTGAACATGATACTAGGCCGTTAAATTAGTGCATTTTTCTCTCTTTCATACCCACTAACCTACAAAATGAGAAGAACTATTTGGCTTAACAGAGTAAACCACCCGGGACATTTCAATTTCTTTCTGACTGTTGTCTAACTGCTTCTATAGGTTATAAGACACCCACAAGAAAATCTAACTTGTATACAGGTTGTTCGGTAACACGTCACAAACTTTGCCAGTAGATTCCACATTCAAAATGGAACCAAAAAGTCCTAATTAACTATGGTACGAATCTCAACAGTTTAGGAATTATTCCCTTTGTCCTGATTTTTTAAGATTTCAGGACCTTGCTTCAAATAGACAATTATAACTCCAAAACTAAAAGGTTTTGGACAAATCCGTTGATACCATTGAAAACTAAGTTAAATTTCCAATAAGATCAATACTAAACTCGTAAACGTGAGTGAAATAATCGTTTTAATAGCCAGAAATTTTATATATATATATATATATTTTGTAAACTTCTATTTCCAAACCTAATGACCAGCAAATTTCAGAATACGTACTCCATTTAATATATTTTTTAGTGGGGTAAGTGCTTATTTAATTACTTTTTTCAAAGACGAAGAAGGAATACACCGTGGTTGACGGATTGGTAAGGTGGAATAATTTTAATTAATAATAATCCATTTACGCTTAGTGGTCTAATTGACCAAATTACTTATTTCAATTATTCTTTTTATGTAAGGTCTTTGTTGAGATGAAAAAGTTAGTGTCACGAGCGGGATTCG